GTGCCACTACTTATGAGACAACCTAATACTCACATTAATATTTTTGTGCTAAAGGCCTAGGAGCAATTCGCTCGATCCCGCTTTTCCACCGTTCTGCTAATTCTATTCCTCACCCAGCCAACGGAAGTCGTTTTCCAATATCGCAAAATAAGGAACAAGCGATCATTGGGTAAGCTTAGAAAAGTAAAAGGAAAGAAAAACCAGAAAGCGACAAATGTAATCTTCCGGTTTCGGAAAAATAAAAAATTTCACAGTGATGATGGAGAACTTTTCAACGTTTCTCTTCGTATCGCTTTTACCACATCGTTTCTCATTTGAAGGCAGAATTTACGATGAAAAGTTAGCTCATTGGAAATAAGGGTAGAGGTGGTCAGTGGAGCAGGGATGAAGAAGAAACCATTTGAAACGGCCCGAAACCCGAGGGACCCCTTCCTTGCCCGTTGATTTGCGCATTGATGCGACTCTCATCGCTGTGCCCTCTTCAACACTACGCTCTCTCTGCTATCTAATCACTCGCGTATAGACCTGCGGCGAGTGATTAGATAGTCGGTGGGCGTACCCCGCCAACCGCGCCAAGAGTGAGCCATGCTAGATCGCCGAGGTCAAATCTTTCGCTGCCAATTGCGCGTCGGTCAGCACCCTCAGGAGGTCCGCCTGTCTTCCATCCCCCTTCTTTGACCTTCGTTCTGATCGTAAATTTCTTCTTAAGCTAGCACACAACCCACAGAGAGAGTGGATCCTATACTGAGGATGCTTCTTACCTCTTCGCTTTCCTTTTTATTCGCGTCTCTGAATTAGGATACGAATAAAAATGACGACCCCGCATACTCAATGTATGTGGACCTTTCCACACTACAGCGCATAGTATTTGCTTTAACCCATTGCGGACCGCCGTTATAATTGCACCTCCGTAGGTTTTTGTCATCTCTTTTATCAGTGGCCAATAATCTATCGAAAATTTAACCAGTACGCAAATAAGTGATATATCCTGTGTCTGAAAAAGTAAACTGCTGATTTTGTAACTTAGCAAAATGCTGAAAAAATCGAAGATTACTATCCTTCTCCGCGTGGTGGCGTGCTGCACATGGTGCAGCACGCGGTCCGCAATGGGTTAATAACTTTGATAAAGCTAGACTTAAAGGATCACAAATTTGGTGGACCTCTGATCTAAGCGCAGGACTTCATTGACGACAGCTCCCTTGAACTGCTGCAAACTCAGACAGTTGTATTTTCGCGAACGCTCAGTAGAATGCGGCTTTATTCAGCATCCTTCCGTCAAAGCCCTCATAAATTATGTTGGTCAGCTGAAGTATGGATGCTTCGGACGTCTAGGGCGTCCCTATCAACAACAAACACATCGTATTGTCTCCGTTTTAGCTCGGTTCGCAGCACAGCCTATATTCGGTAGCCCAGACAAAGAATGCACAGCCAGACTCGTATACGTTCTTAGGAATATGGCTGAGGCCGAATTCGTGCTTTTTATTCGTGTTTAGAAACTTGAGCTTATCAGTGAACAGCAGCATGCAGATTTGGGTGGATGGTGTAGTTGCGGTGATTTCCTCGCTTCTCCTGAAGTTGGCATCGAAAACTTCTGCGCATATTCATTTCCACGGACACCTTAGGGCCCCCAAGGCAATTCACTCAGTTTGAAAGTTGCCTCACGAGAGAAAATTTTGTATAAGTGTCGGGAATTTAACAACACTGCAGAGTTTGTATTTGTTTAACAGGAAAAGTATAGAATGTCAGAACAACAACGTTTCAACAGGTCGAGAGTTCAAAGTCCTCCCACCTTGTCAATGTAGAAATTGTCGCAAAAAGTGAATGTGCGTCAGTCGAGAGGTCTGGTCAGTAAGTCTGCACAAGCTGGATCCCCGTAACGCCCAAATTTCCTCCCTAATAAATATTGAAATGAATCCTTGTTAAAAAACGTGCAGAAAACTCGGAGGCATGCCCCAGGATCACATTGGTGTGGCTCTTGCACACGAATGCGAATGTATTGGTGCGAAAGGGCCGGCAGTAAAAAAAGGAAAAGAATCCGTCGAAAACGCTTAGGTTAAGGGCTCACTCACCTTCCTAATCGGCTGTGCTAAGGGAATGAGAGACTAAGCGCGGAGAGGAGAGTATGA